AGTTTCAAGCCAAAAGGTAAAATGGTTTTCCACTTATCGTGTTATCGGTGCTGCATATATGTTGAAAAAAGTGAAAAAACAGCATAAATTCCCTAAGAGTGACCCGATCATGCTGATTTTCGAACTTGACCTGCGTATTATGAATATTCATCAGTTCTGCAAGTTTCAAATCAAAAGGCAAAATGGTTTTCCACTTATCGTGTTATCGGTAAAAGTGCACGGCGACGGCGACGGCGACGATGGCGACGACGGCGACGACAGACGCAGATGATGGCAATATGTACAGACACATCTGTGTCTGTACATAAAAATAATAAATTGCTGTATTGGCTTGAAACAGACACATCTTTCTTGTTTTGAAAGAGGCACATTATTTCCATTTAATTGGACTACTTACTGACATATCTTGGGGCAAAGTCAACCTAAATTCTGATCTTCAAGATCTTTCCTGAAACCACCCCATGTTTTTTCCTGGATCATATCAATGACAACACACATGCCAAAACATAATCTGGGTCACCAGGGGGCGGCACATTCAGTTTACTTCAAGGATAAGGTGTACCTTTATTGGCTCTGATGAATACTAGATGTTTTGTTTGCAGAACTTTATGAAAAAAAAATTCCTGAATGCCAATTTTGCCATACACTTGAAGGAAAAATCTTTCCTTGTTCATTCTTTTTACTTATGTGAGGTATCGTAAAAATGACACTGGTTGCCATTTCACAATATTATAGCCTTTGTACAGAAATATTGATATAATTCTTAAAACAGTTCTTGTTACTGTTATTGTGCACATTAAACAAAGAGAAAGGAATGACTTCCAGTACATGTTACCTGCCTGTGTGCAGACATAGTTTAAATATATCTATAACAAGTTTAACCAAATGAAAAAAGAAACACTGAAAGTCATTACTTTAGCTTAAAACAAAATATATTCGTTTTCAGTTTTTCACTGCACAACAGAAGACATAAGTATTCATATTTTAAGAAAAAAAAAGTTCAACCCACCCAAGTGTACTAACAGACTAAAACATCACACCATGTACTAAACCACAAATCTAACAAACACACTTTATAAAAAAAAACACTGAACAGTAAAAAAGAATGGATAGTACAGACCTTCAAGCTATCTGCCAGCCGTAGGTACCAATAACCTACCTGAGTGACCTGGCGCCCCCTAGTGGGGTGGCAGCCTCTGGCAGGTGCTTAGATACTCCACAGGGGTAATTGAAAACATAAAGTTCACATATACATCTAGTCTTTTTCGCACTACTGATGTCTTTTCTTTCAAGTCTGTTTTTCCTGTTTTAAGCACCACACCCTGTTCTGGTTCTCTGTGGCCATGTTTCTGATCACTCAGTGGCCTGTCAGGGGTGGTTTATTTGACAGACTAATTAGGGTACAGTTACTGCAGGAGTGCCTACTGCTCTGGAGAGCTGATGTTGCATGCTTATATGTTGTGCAATAATAATAATAATAATAATAATAAATAAATAAATAAATAAATAAATAATGAATTCCAGGTATAAAAACTGACTTTGTGTTATCATATATGCATAGAAGAAAAATAACTACTTTTGAAATAAATCTGTTACAAACTGACAAAAAATACTCTTTTTCATCATCAAGAAAAATAATCAGAACTATTTAAACACAACTTAATCTATCCAAGCATGTGTGCTGTCATCCGAACAAAAAGTGACTATTTGAGGGAAGATTAAAACTAAGATTGCAAATCAAAAATAGTCCCATACAAATGCTAGTCTGTCTTTATTGGCTGACTAAAATGTTTTTTAAAAAATCTGTCTGAGCAATTAATCCATGTAATGATTCTAAATATAACCTGGTATTTGAATAATTGTAATTAAATCTGCCTCTCAGGGACGTCAAAATGTATTCATTTATTTATTACATTCTAGGCTCAATAATGATACACAAATTAATGCAATAGCCTCTTACATCTCTTCAACTGTTTGGCAAATTTTATCATAACATATCGCAATTGATGTAAACAGAAGGGAATTCCCAGAAGCTTAAATCACATAGCTGTCCATGTGCTGGCAATGCCATCCATGTGCTGGGAATGGCGTCTCAAAGCAATATGGAAGTGTCATACAAAACATGGTGAATCGGCATTGTTTTGAAGAAGACTGAAATTCTACAGAACTCTAAGAGTAAACAACGAGAAAAATGTTCATGGACATCTTATGCCAGCTA